TGCCTTCGGATGAGTCTGATGAGTCCAGTGGCCCGTACCCAAAGCTTGTTGGCTGCCTCATGTACCTGATGACCTGCACACGACCTGACCTTGCATACCCTCTTAGCATTCTCGCACGCTATGTTGCTCCTGGGAGACACAGACCAGAGCACATGGCTGCAGCGAAGAGGGTGTTGCGCTACTTGTGCAGTACGTCGAGCATGGGGCTTGTGCTTGGATGGCAGAGTCCAGTGGTCCTCACTGGGTACGCTGACGCTTCTTGGGCTGACGACCAGGCTACGCAGCGGTCGTCACAGGGTTACACCTTCAGCCTTGGTTCCGACTCTGTTTCGTGGCGGGCTACTCGCTCGTCTTCTGTTCTCGGCTCCAGTTGTGAGGCTAAGATCTACGCAGGAGCCATGGCTGCTCAGGAGCTTTGCTGGCTCACCTACCTGCTAACTGACCTCGGAGAGCCGCCTCGTTCTCCTCCAGTGCTGTACGTAGACAACAAGGCCATGCTGGCCTTGTGTCGGGAGCAGCGACTGGAGCACAGAACGAAGCACATTTCTCTCCGCTACTTTCTTGCTCGTGAGCTGCAGCAGCGTGGTCAGCTGCGTCTTGCGTACATGGCCTCTGAGGCCAACACTGCTGATATCTTCACCAAGGCGCTTGCGTCTTTTGATCATCAGCGCTTCTGTACTCAGCTGGGTCTTGTGCCTGCCTTGCCTCACTTGCTCACCTCTTGACCTTGTTTGTACTATTACATATATATATATATTTCTTCTCTTGCTTTTCTAGCCTTTTATATATATATGTACTCCTGCATGTGAACTGGCCTTGTGGCTTTGAACTTTTGCTCGTAATGTGTGGTGACTTTGTGATCCACCTTGAGCTTGCTTTGCTTTGCTCGACTGGTCTTGTGACCCCTTGTTCTCCCCCACTTGGCCTATGGGGGTGTGTCAGAAAATTATAGCTTATGCTTTTATGTAGGGTATAGTGGGGTAGCCCATAAGGGGTACAATCCCATTAGGGTTAGTTCTTGTACCCAACTCTTTTATAGTTGATCCATTCTCGTTCATTTTCACAGGGTTGACGAACGGGCCCTCGACTTTCCAGCTCACCATGGACGGGGTGTTTCGGGACATGCTGGACAAAAAAGTTATCGTTTATTTGGACGACATCCTGGTGTACAGCAAGACTCGGGAGCAGCATTTACAGGACTTAGAGGAAGTGTTCCGGCGCTTGTAGTAGAACCGACTGAATACTAAGGGCTCTAAGTGTGAGTTCTTACAGCCGGAGCTGGAATTCCTAGGGCACGTGATTTCAGGGGAGGGCATTAAAATTGACCCTCCCATAATGACGGCGATTTCAGAATGGAAGCCGCCCACGAACATCACGGAGTTGCAGAGTTTCCTCGGGTTCGTTAACTACGTCCGCCGTTTTGTACCGAATATGGCGGGGGTGACCAGGCCGTTAACCGATCTTCTGCATAAGGGCATGCAATTCTGTTAGGGGGAGAGAGAACAGCTGGCTTTGAACGAGCTGAATAAAATTTTGAGTTTACCCCCGGTGCTTCGGCTGGCAGATCCATCTCGACCGTTCGAAGTCGTGACGGACGCCAGCGATTTCGCCGTGGGCGCTGTGCTCCTACAGGACCTCGGCAACGGGCTGCAACCCATCGCGTACGAATCAAGAAAAATGCAGCCGCCCGAGCGCAACTATCCGGTCCACGACAAGGAAATGCTCGCCATTGTGCATGCATTTCGTACGTGGCGCTGTTACCTCACGGGGCATGACGTCACCATCCGAACCGACCACAAGTCATTACAATACATGCGCAGCCAACCACAACTCAACCCTCGACAAATCCGGTGGCTCGAATCCAATTTCAACTACACCATCACGTACAAAAAGGGCGCCAACAACATCGCCGACGCCCTGACCCGACCATCAATGCAGACCACAGCAGTACTAATCGCCCATTCTAACCCTTTATTGACAGGATTATTCAAGCATGGCTACAGGATTGACCGGTTTTTCCGGACCAATCAACACCACAGGGTCACCACGGCGCATGGAGCTACTACCTAAAAGTCGGTACTAACCGAGTTTGTCACAGCATACATGGCAGCAAGAATAGCATCCAAGTCAAGGTCAAAGACAGCTACTCCCGCCCTAGACAGCTCGCCCCAGCGAGGGATCTCAGTGGCCTCAGGGAACTGGTGACGCCAAGCGTTCGTCAGGCGGCCAAAGCAGCACTGGGTGGAGTGCGCACCCCCGCACTGCTCACCCGCGCGGTCGCCGGTGCGTAGGACGTAGGTGCACGGACCATTACCCCCACCCCGCTGTCGTGCAGCGTACCACTCACGGAGCTGCTGAGGGGGGGGATGTCACGCATGCGCTACTGCTGCTGCTGCTGCTGCTGCTGCTGCTGCTGGCGCTGACCACCACCGGAGCCGGCCCTCTGCGCAGCGCCACCCCGACCAGCTCCACCTCCTCCGCCGCCGCCTCCTCCACCTCCGCCACCTCCGCCACCTCCGCTCCCACCGCCACCGCCGTTGCCGCCTCCGCCTCCACTGCCGCCACCGACACCTCCACCCCCGCCATCATATGTTCGCACGTTGCATGCATGATGTGAGCGTGTGCAATAACTTGTGTTTGGCATTGTTTGGATTTTATGAGTGTGTGTGAATGTTATTCTGCTTGAGCAGATATCTGAAGTGACTCCAGTACGCAAGGGCTTTTCAATGAACCAAACCTCGCTTCAATCGGAGTACGAACGAGAAAACTTGTTAGAGACTAAGAACGGAGTCTAAGATGATTAGGACCCTTACGAGAATTGCTGAAGCAGGAAGTACACGACTCCAACCTCTCCGGGCATTTCGGCGTCGACAAAACGTTGAAGCCGCTGCAACGGAATTATTACTGGCCCGACATGGCGTCCGACGTGCAGCACTACGTGTCCGCCTGCCCGACCTGCCAAGCAATGAAGTCATCACGCCAACGCCCAGCTGGATTGCTGCAACCCCTCGAGCCACCCGAACGACCGTGGCAACAGGTGACAATGGATTTCGTCACAGGACTGCCGGCGGGCGCAAGTGGCAACGACTCGGTACTTGTCGTCGTCGATCGCTTAACGAAAATGGCACATTTCGCACCATGCCGCACGACGATCACAGCCGAAGAAATAACGAAGCTCTTCATCTCGACCGTCGTATGACTACACGGGTTGCCATCGGCGATAATCAGCGACCGCGACCCAAAATTCACGTGGAAGTTCTGGCAGGAGACGTGGGCACAGTACGGCACCCGCCTGCAGTTTTCGTCGTCGTACCATCCACAGACCGTCGGACAGACAGAGAGGACAAACCAGACGATGGAGCCGTTGATTCGCACGAACTGCCCCAACATCACCAAGTGGGAGGATTCCCTTCCCATGCTCGAGTTTGCGTACAATAACGCCCCATCTGCAACAACCAAGCAGTCGCCGTTCTACCTGAATTACGGGATAGATCCAGTAGTACCCTTGTCAACAACTCCCGATAACCCGGTACCAAGGTCGCACCAGAGTGTTTCCGAACTACAAGCAGCGCGAGGCAAAGCAGCGGAGTTTATCCGAAAGGCTAATACGGCCGCCAGCCGCTACGCCGACCGACATCGACGGAATTTACCCTTCCGTGACGGGCAGATGGTCCTCCTGGACACAAAAAAACTCAAGCTGCCCCAGCCTGCAAAACTACATCCACGCTACGTGGGACCCTTTCGCATCAGTCGGATGCTGACACCGGTCACTGCGAAACTTCTCCTACCGGACAACTGGAAAATCCACAACGCTTTCCACGTCAGCTTACTTCACCACTATGTAGCACCGCAGTCGTCCGATGTCGCCCGACCCCACCAGGCGTCAAGTGTCCGACCTGTGGCAGACCCGATGCTTCAACCTTGGAAGATATTGAACCATCGCATTCGTGCGATCCCCGCCGGACGCCATGTCGACTTCCTACTACGTTGGGTGGATCGCACAGGCGAAGATGACACGTGGGTCCCGGCTGACTCACTTTTAGGGCACTCGGTACTTTGGCAGTATCTTTCTCGCCGACATGTGTCTGATATCGACCACCTTTCTTAAGGGGGGGGGGGTAGTGTAAGGAATTTCGTTAATTCCTTACTAAGGCATCTCTTACGCGTACAATTCCAACTTTCGGAATTCAGGCTCGGTCCGACGACCTCGCCTTCCGAACGTTTCCCGCGTCGCCCTCGGGTTGCCCAACCCCAAACCTGTACCCAACCTTCGCGCGACTCCGCGACCTTCGGCCTAGCTAGACATGCTATATTATACCTAGGCCTCGTTGTTTGCTCAGTAGTTGTAATCACTTCCGCGATATTGCATTCTGCGCACTCTTCTTTCATACAACTCATAACACAACCTCTCTCTCAAGAAACGAGGGGCCCCCAACTCCACCCAGCTCACTCGACTGTCAGAAGTTTATAGATGGCAAAAGTATACTAATTCGTTTCCCCCGCGGGAGCTCACTCACGTAGCGTTCTTAGCGTGCGCTACTAGAACATTCCTACCCGCACCGTTAAAATTCGGAGCTTAGGGTTACATCGTACACCGAAGGTTGCGCTGGCGCCAGCGTTAGCCGAATACGCATTCATTCGTCCGTCACCGCTGCGTCGCCGTGTAGCTTCACCGCACTGTACGTAGAAATCACGTTGCCTCCCCACGCAGCCTAGAGTCGATCTTTGTTGCGTAATCCAGCCGCCGCAAATTGCCTTTGCATCGAGCCCCTAGTAGCGTCCTCGCCCCACCACAACTTGCTGCCTCGAAGGCTCGCCTCAAAGCCCGTCGCGGCGTCGCCTCGCCACAAATCCGCTCGCGGCGTCGCATTGTTGCAAATCCACTTGCGGCGTCGCATCGTCGCAAATCCGCTTGCGGCGTCGCATCGCCGCAAATCCGCTTGCGGCGTCGCATCGACGCAAATCCGCACGCAGTGTCGCCTCGCCGTGAATCCCTGCTCATGGCGTCGCCTCACCGCAAATCCCCGCGCAGTGTATTGTACCACCAAATCCGCACGCGGAGTCGCATCGACGCAAATCCGCTCGCGGCGTCACCTATCCGCAAATCCGCACGCGGCGTCGCGCCGCAAATCCGCTCGCAGCGGCGCCTCGCCACCCCACGCTACCTCCTCACGCCACCGCGATCACGCGGGCCGCGCCACAAACTGCGGGCCCTCGTGCGCCTCCCAATATCTTTAGTCCGCTGCCCTCTCCCAATTTACGGCCTCCCGATCTCCCATTACCGCCTCCCATTCTCCCAAACCTCCCCTTCTCCCCTTACCGCCTCCCTGCATCCACACCTCCTCTCACTGCATCCCCATCTCCCCTCTCTGCATCCCCATGTCCCCATTAGCTCCCCATCCAACCCTATTTTGCCACATCCCTACCCGCATCGCCGCTTCCCTCCCTTCCCTTCCTTCCCTGCCTTCCCTGCCTTCCCTCCCTTTCATCTCTTCCCTCCCATCCTTCCCTTCCATCCCGTCCCTCCCGTCCCTCCCTTCCCTCCCGTCCCTCCCTTCTATCCCTGCCCTCCCATCTCTCCCTGCGCTCCCTGCCCTCCCTTCCCTTCCTTCCCTCCCTCCTCTCCCTTCCCTCTCCCTTCAGAACCTTCCGTCCCCTCCCTCCCTTGCCTCCCTTCCCTCCCTTCCCTCACCTACCCCCCTTTCACTGCCCTTCTCTCCCTTCCCTCCCTTCCCTCCCTTCTCTCCCTTCCCTCCCTTCCCTCCCTTATCTTCCTTCCCTCCCTTATCTCCCTTCCCTCCCTTCTCTCCCTTCCCTCCCTTCCCTCACTTCCCTCCCTTCCCTCCCTTCTCTCCCTTCTCTCCCTTCCCTCCCTTCCCTCCCCTCCCTCCCTTCCCTCCCTTCTCTCCCTTCCCTTCTTCGCTCTCTTTCCTACCCTTGCATCCTTCTCTCCCATCCCGCTGTTCTCTCCCTTCCCTCCCTTCTCTCCCTTCCCTCCCTTCCCTCCCTTCCCTCCCTTATCTCCCTTCCCTCCCTTCTCTCCCTTCCCTCCCTTCCCTCCCTTCCCTCCCTTCCCTCCCTTCCCTCCCTTCCCTCCCTTCCTTCCTTCTTGCCTCCCAATCTCCCCTTCCCGCCTCCCAATCCCCCCTTCCCGCCTTTCAAACTCCACTTCCGTCTTCACCATGGAAGCTACCTCCCTCTTCAACTCTCCCTTCCCTGCCTTCCCTCCCTTCCCTCCTCCCCTCCCTTCCCTCCTTCCCTCCCTTCCCTCCATCCCTCCCTTCCCCCCTTTCCCATCAATCCCTCCCTTCTCTCCCATCTCTCCCTTCCCTCCCTGTCCCCCTTCCCTCTTTCCCTCCCTTCTCTCCCCTCCCTCCCCTCCTTCCTTTCCCTCCTTTCCCTCCGTTCTCTCCCGTCCCTCGCTTCCCTCCTTCCCTCCCTTTCCTCCCTTCCCTCCCGTCCCTCCCTTCCCTCCCTTCTCTCCCTTCCCTCCCTAACATCCCTTCTCTCCCTTCCCTCCCTTCCCTCCCTTCTCTCCCTTCTCTCCCTTCCCTCCCTTCCCTCCCTTCCCTGCCTTCCCTCCCTAACCTCCCTTCTCTCTCTTCCCTCCCTTCCCTCCCTTCTCTCCCTTCTCTCCCTTCTCTCCCTTCCCTCCCGTCCCTCCTTTCTCTCCCTTCCCTCCCTTCCCTCCCTTCCCTCCCTTCTCTCCCTTCCCTCCCTTCCCTGTCAGAACATTATAGCTAACTTATTTGTGTAGGCTATAGTGGGGTATCCCATAGGGGGTACAACCCAATAAGGGTTTCCTATTTGTACTCACTTCGTTCATAGTCATTTCATTCTCGTTCAGTTTTCCTCATGGTATCGAGCAGGTTCCCCTGTGGGAACTGTGCCTAGGGCCCACCACTCGAATCTTTTTTTTTTTTTCCTGCCCGAAGCGCACTCATCCCGAGTCGCGCCTCGGGCCACTCCTTCCCCGAGCCGCCCTAGCGGCCGGCCTTACCCTCGCGGCCCCGCCGCCCAGTGAACGCGGCCCCGCCGCCTCTTCTCTCGCGGCCCCGCCGCCCAAGCGCTCGCGGCCCCGCCGCCCTAGCGCTCGCGGCCCCCGCCGTCCCTGATCTCGCGGCCCCTCCGCCCCAGCGCTCCCGGCCCAGCCGCCCCTATTACGCGGCCCCGCCGCCCCAGCGCTCCCGGCCCCGCCGCCCCTGTTACGCGGCCCCGCCGCCCCAGCGCTCCCGGCCCCGCCGTCCCTGTTACACGGCCCCGCCGCCCCAGCGCTCCCGGCCCCGCCGCCCCTGATACACGGCCTCGCCGTCCCTGATCTCACGGCCCCGCCGCCACAGCAATGCAGCCGAGCCGCCCTTGCACCCGAGCCGCCCGGCAACCGAGCCGCCCTACCGCCGAGCCGCCTGGGAGCCGAGCCGCCCGGAGCCGAGTTGCTGAGTAGCCGAGCCGCCTTTTCTACCGAGCCGCCCAACCTGCCCTGCACGGTGAGCACTGTACCGCTGTCACTGCGTGCCCTTCCTCTACTGCTTGCCCTGCTTCACTGTCGTCATCATGGCTACCCCTAGTGTCCTCGCTTTTGACGCTGAGGGTCGAGCCGTAGACTTCGAGGTCTGGCTAGACGACCTGCAGCTGTTCTTACAGTGCGATAGGGCGGACGGTCTGTCTCTCTTTGACCTCACCTCTGGCGCCGTCCCTTCCCCTACTGCTGATGCTGACGCCACTGTTCGCTCGCAGTAGGCCACGCGCGATGCTGCTGCACGTCTTGCTGTGCGTCGCCACTTGCCTACCGCTGAGCGCGCGCACTTTAACCAGTACAAGAGTGCTCAGACCTTGTACGACGCTGTAGTTGCGCGCTACTCCTCCCTTGCCACTGCTGCACTGAGCCGCCTCATGCTCCCCTTCCTCTTCTCTGACCTTGCCGCCTTTCCCACTGTCGCTGATCTCATCACGCACCTCCGCACTAGTGACACTCACTACCGCGATGCGCTTCCTGCTGACTTCTGCGCCAAGAACCCCCACCCCATGTACATCACTCTCTACTTCTTAGTCACTCGCCTCCCTGACTCCCTTCGTGTAGTCCGGGACCACTTCCTCGCAGTCTGTCCCACCACCCTCACAGTCGACAGCCTAGAGAAGGCCCTCCTTGCGGCAGAGAAGAGCATAGTCGCTGTAGGTGCCTCTCGAGGTGACCCCCGCGCCCCCATCTTTGAGGGGTGTTCTCCTTCCCCTCTCCTGCCCTCTGTCGCCTCTGCTGCTACGGCCGACCTCGTTGGCCTTGAGTCGGTCGGTGCGGCGTCTGCCCCTAGCGGGAGACGCCGCTCTAGCAAGGGCAAGGGGGGCAAGGGAGCAGGTGGGGGCAGTGGTGTCGGTGGAGGTGGAGGTGGAGGCGGCGGAGGGAGTGGGGGTGGCGGTGGTGGTGGTAGCGGGGGTGGGGGTGCTAGTGGTGGCAGTGGAGGCGGGGGTGGCGGCAGCGGTGGCGGTGGTAGCGGAGGTGGTGGAGGTGGCGGCGGTGGAGGCGGAGGCGGGGGCGGTGGTGGCGGAGGTGGAGGTCGTCGGAGTGGAGCTTCGCAGCGGAGCAGCACTGGGGGAGATCAGCGCCAGCAGCAGCAGCAGCAGCAGCAGCGTTCTCGTGACGTCCCCACCCCTCAGCAGATCCGTGAGTGGTACACGCAGCGTCAGCGCGGTGGGGGTTTTGGTCCCTGCACCTACGTTCTCCGCACTGGCGACCGCACTGGAGAGCAGTGTGGGGGCACCCACACCGCCCAGCGCTGCTTTGGCCGCCTGACGGACGCTTGGCGCCAGCAGTTCCCGGAGGCCGCGGAGATCCCCCGCTGGGGAGAGCTGTCTAGGGCTGGTGTAGCTATCTTTGATCTTGATTTTGATGCTATTCTTGCTGCCATGTATGCTGTGACCATTAGTGAGGAGGGTGACTGTTACCGGTGTTTCCCGCCCGACCCGGGCATTGGTACTGCTGCTCCAGGTGCCAGTGAGGCTTCTGCTCTTGGTGCCAGTGCGTCTGTGCTCTCAGGTGCTGGTGAGGCTGCTCTCTCAGGTACTAGTGCATCTGCGCTCTCAGGTACTGCGTCGGCTTCGGCCTCCCACACCTTCACTCTTGACTCTAGAGCGTCTCGCTCTTTCTTTCGGGACCGCACCACGCTCACGCCGCTTAGTCGGCCGATTGCGGTTTCCCTGGCTGACCCCTCTGGGGGTCCTGTCCTCTCTCGCTTCTCCACAGTCCTCCCGTGTCCGGCGGCTCCCTCTGGCACCCTGTGTGGTCTCTACCTCCCCTCGTTCTCTACGAACTTGGTAAGTGGTGCTGACCTACAGGATGTGGGAGTCCACCAGTTCACCCCTGCTAGTCAGCGGGTGACGCACTGCACAGAGGCTAGCACGAGTCGTCACCTGGCCACGTTTACACGTCAGCCACGGTCGAGCCTGTACACACTGACCACTGCTTCCCCTCCAGGTGCTGAGTCTGGTAGAGTCCCTTTGTCTGGTCAGGTGTTTGCTGCAGCGTCTAGGTCTGGTCCTGAGTCTGCCCCCTGTTCGTGTCGCCGTCTGTCTCACGAGACCCTACTCTGGCACCACCGCCTTGGCCACCCCTCTCTGCTTCGGCTCAGAGGCATGGCCTCCCGTCTTCTTGTGTCTGGTCTCCCCCGGTCCCTCCCACCCCTTCCTCACGGCCCTGGCCCTGCCTGTGTCCCCTGTGTCGAGGGGCGCCAGCGTGCTGCCCCTCACTCCTCCCAGTTTCCTCCGTCAGAGGCTCCGTTGCAAACGCTTCACATGGACGTGTGGGGCCCTGCCCGCGTCCGTGGACTCGGTCACGAGCGCTACTTCCTGTTGGTGGTAGACGACTATTCGCGCTACACCACAGTCTTCCCCTTGCGCAGCAAGTGTGATGTCATTGAGGTGCTGATCGACTGGATCCGAGCAGCTCGTCTTTAGCTCAGGCAGAGCTTTGGCTCGGACTTTCCTGTGCTGCGTCTGCACTCGGAGAGAGGCGGAGTGTTCTCCTCTAACCTTCTGCGTGCCTACTGTCGTGCGCGAGGCATCCGCCAGACCTTCACGCTTCCGGACTCACCGCAGCAAAATGGGATTGCAGAGCGCCGCATTGGCATGGTCATGGACGTCGCTCGTACGTCTATGATGCATGCGGCTGCCCCCCATTTTCTGTGGCCGTTTGCGGTCAGGTACGCGGCGCATCAGATCAACCTCCACCCCAGGGTCTCCAGGCCGGAGACCTCCCCAGCCCTGCTGTGGACGGGGAAGGTTGGCGATGCGTCGGCGTTCCGGGTCTGGGGATCTCGGGCGTTTGTCCGCGCCCTGTCTGCAGACAAGCTGTCCCCTCACGCTGCTCCCTGCGTCTTCCTGGGGTTCCCCCACGACGCCCCTGGGTGGCAGTTCTACCACCCCACCTCTCGACGTGTTCTGTCCTCCCAGGACGTCACGTTCGACGAGTCGGTACCCTACTACCGCCTCTTCCCCTACCGCACTCCGTCCCTCCCCTCGCCCCCGCTCTTCTTGGTACCAGATCCACCCCCGGTAGACCCCCTCCTCCCTCAGGGTCCTGCCCCTTCAAGTGTGTCCCAGGTAGACGCGGTCGAGCCTGTCGAGGTCACTGGTTACTCTGGTGCTGCTGCGTGCGATGAGCCTGGGGGTGCTGGGACTGGAGGCGCTACGCTTGGGGGTGCTGAGCATGGGGGTGCGGAACCTGGAGGTGCTGAGCCTCGGGGTACTGGGCCTGGGGGTGCTGAGCCTGGGGGTGCTGAGTCTGGGGGTGCTGAGCCTGGGGGTGCTGAGCCTGCGGGTGCTGAGACTGGGGGTACTGGGCCTGGGGGTGCTGAGCCTGCGGGTACTAAGCCCGGGGGTGCTGAGCCTGGGGGTGCTGAGCCTGCGGGTGCTGAGCCTGGGGGTGCTCCGCCTGGCGGTGCTTCGTCTCGCTGAGAGCCACTCTCCCCACAGGAGCTGCGTGAGTGGTTTGCCCGGCGCTAGAGGCGTGCTGCTGGTGCTGGAGGTTCTTTGGCTGCAGAGGGTGCTGCTGCCGACCGTCCCGGAGGTGCTCGTGCTGTGGGTGCCGGAGCTGCTGGGTCTGAGGGTTCTCCTGGAGCTGGTGCTGCTGAGGGTGTTGGCGCTGAGACTACCGCTGGCGGTCCGACTGATAGTGCTCCTGGTGGTGCTACAGGAGGTTGTGGAGCCACTGGAGGTGCTGCTGGAGGTGCTGCTGGAGCAGTTACTCCTCCTGGGGGTAGTGGTGCTGTCCCTGCTGTTTCTGACGTCGCCACGCGGCCACGACCGTACTTTGTTCCGCTCCTGCAGCAGGTTCTTGGTCTTACACCTTCTCCTGGTCCTCCTCCGCCTCCCTTAGAGGGTCCACAGCCTGTCTCGTCTTAGTCACAGCTACAGCCTGCCTCCTCTTTGCCTGCTCCTTCTCCCTACATTGGTCCGACTGGAGGTCTTACTGAGCGTCATGAGCCTGCGTCTCGTCCTGCGTCGCCCGTTCGTGCTGCGCGCACGAGTGGTCGCGGTTCGCGTCAGCGTCCTCCTCCTATCCCTGGCATGCACCGGATGTCTCTGCGTCCGTCCACTGCTCCTCTGTGTGCCCCTTTGCCTTCTCCTCCTGCTTCCTCTCTTCCTGCTCTTGCCGACCCGGAGTCGGACTCTCTTCGTGCTGCCAGTCCTACTGTCATGCGTCTCCTTGCTACTTCTGTCACTGACCCTTCTTTCGAGCCGTCTGCTGCGTCTGCCCTTGTCACT